GACCACCGATGGGCGTCCCGGTTATACGGCGAAAGGGATTGATTGAGGATATCCCTTTGCTTTGCGTTCGGCGATTCCTTGCGTAGCCTATGCGCACGAGAAGATCTACATGCTGTCCCGGACGAACGAGCTCCGATGCAAGGCATCAGGTTGGTGGGCGCTGTGTAAGATGCGATTTGTTGATGTGGAGGCAGTGGAGTTCCGATATGTTGGTACAGAAAGGGAGTCGGAGGTACCGCTGCGATGGCGTAGACAACCTGTATCCGACATTGCCTGATTGAGTAAGAACGTCACAGCAAGGGAACGGCATCGAAACAGTTTTTGTGTGTTGTTGACCAACAATGGTAAACAGTCGTGATTCTAGCGCTTCATGCGCTTTGGTATCTACTCCAATCCAAACCCCATCCATGCCTATGAACAGTCAATGCGCCTCGGAAACAAATCCGAAGCACGCCCGCTTTGGGGCAAAGTGAAAAGTAGCCGTAATGATACAGAAAAAATATTCAAAACCGTCCGCCCAGTAGGTCATTCGTGATATGCTCTTGATAGATGGAAACGTCAAATGTAACGCCTGGGCCTAGCCACTACAAGTGGATATAGGAAGTGTGGCCGCCAAGTTTCGCAACGCCGTTTCGCAAAATGTCTAGTAGTTTGAAGTTGAGAAGGAAGTGGAAATGCCGAAAACAACCTCGCCGGGTCGTGTGAGCCAGTTGCGCCTTCGCATGCCCGTAGACTCGGGGTGGGGAAATCAGTTACGCCGGTGTTTATGCAACCCAGTATGCAAGTTCAAGGTGATGCAAATCGCTCTGATTGCATCTTCGTAATCGTGTCGCTTTTGAATGACGGAATGTCGGTGTGATGGTGAAGAATGTAAGAGGTGAGTGGGTAGCTTAGAACAGACCACCCTCGACGACGCCTGGTTCGTCGTCTCGGAGCTGGCCGCCGCTCTTCTTCTTGGGCCAGAGCTTGCTGCTTACTCGCTTCCAGCTATCCCGGGTAGCGCTGGCGAGGCCATTGTGCTCTCCTCGGCTGTTCCGAGGGCTGGGTGTGCCGCTATTCGAGCCAGTGTCGTAGTAGGCTTGATGGAAGTCGGCCATGGGGTAGTCGCTCATGGGCGGTGTGCCGGGGGGTGTAAGCGGATCGCTCATGCCCGATGGGCTACTGGCGCTGCCAGAGTCATCGGTCAATGCATCGCTGCCACTAGTGTAGCCAGATGTAACACGGGTGTGTGCTTGACCGGAAGAGGTGGGCTGGGAGTGGAACCGAGAGTGTGAGAAGGGTCTCGAGGCCATGAAGCCAGACGTCAGTGACGACGGTGCCGATGCTCGTTGGTGGGCAGGCACGGGCGGCTGTGACGAGCGGGAGAGCATACTCCGCTCCTCGTAGCTGCGGGTCGATGAGCGCGAGATGTTGCTACCAGCGTAGCTCTCGTGGCTGGCGGGGTGAGCGCTCTGTGGGCTGACTGAGTTGAGGAACGAGACCAGGACGCTCTCCTCCATGAGCTCGTTGATCTTGGCCACGGCACTGTCTAATGCCGATGGGTGGGGCGGGACGTATGAGTCGGAGAGGCTTAGTAAAGTGTCGCGGACTTCGGCGGGAAGGTTGACCTGCGGCTGTTAGTAGAGGTTGGGTGGATAGGATTGAACGAACGTACTTCTCGTGGGCCGGACTCGCGGATGTAGGCGTCAATCAACCGACGCCAGAGCATCAGCACGTAGCCGCACTCTTCAGACAATGGCGAGATGGGGCTCCCCGGATGGCGGTTGACCATCTTGGAGTAGTGCTTGCGGTAGCGAGAGGCGTCCATGGTGAATTCGAGGTTCTCGAGGCAGTGATTCTGTGACAGGAAGGCCATGAAGGAGGTGAGGGTGTAGGGCGGCGGGGCGGTGTTGCTCAGGATCTCCTGCAGGTTTGGTTTCCGGCATTGCGGGCTGGGGATGTTCTTGGGTATCGAGACGGTCAGCGGGGCGGGCTGGCAGTCGGACAGGGCCATCTTGACGTCGCGGGCATCAAAGTCGGCCAGCGAGGGCGTGGGCGAGGACGAGGCGGTCGAGTCGGTGCGGATGGATAGGGCGTGGCTTCCGGACTTGCGTGTGACCATGACGCTGCGCCAGAACTGCTTGTAAACACGGCGGGCGTCCTTCCTGCTCTGCTCGTCGAAGCCTTCACAGGAACAGAGTTGCAGTTGTTGCGCCAGCTTGGCGTTGGCGGCACGAGGTTCGGGCGAACCTAGTGTCTTGGGCGGAGGTGGGAAGTTATCGCTCCGGCGGCGGCAGCATCGGGGGGTGGGTGGGAGTGGTAGGCGGGTGCTGTATATACGTTGGCGTGGGTAGTCGTGTGGTGAGACCGATGTGCGTCAGGACGTGGCTATGGACAGCAGGCTATGGACAGGTGCGGCTCAGCGTGGTTTTGAGCAAGCGGCAGTGGAGAGTCAGGGAGTCTTGGGTCAATGCTTGGGCGGAAAGCTCAGTCAGGACGCACACGCCAGGGCCCACCAGCGGTTTGGCCATCACGAAGGATCGAGGGCCCATGGCTGAGGGCTCGCTGCCGTAAAAGCGGCGGCACGCGCTACCTGGGCATTGGCCGCCCATGTCTTCTGGAAGACGCACGCCCGCATCATCATCCTGGCCGAAACCGCCCCCTGCCGCTCAGTCTTGCCACGCCGATGGGTGCTGATGGGCGCGCTGTCCTGCCCGACCTGGCCGCCTGCTGTGACAGACTGCGACACTGCACACTGCGACATCAGCGCCGCCGACGAACGACGCGTCGCTTTCCGAGGGCGTGGGAGGTCGCACCGCAGACAGCCAGCACGGTCGCTCTCTCTATCTCACCAGCCATGCCCGTCTGGTTGCGACGCCCGGCACTAGCTGCGTGCATAGATTACCTTGGCCCCCCAGCCTTGTGCGTCGCCGCAGCCCTCTCTAGCAGCCGACTGGGCGTAGCCTGCCCCAAACGGCCCTTTTAGACGATAAAGAGCACCCTTCTCCAGTTTCCGTCGCCTTTCCTTACCAGTCCGTACGAGTTGCGAGACGGATGGCAATCGAGTGCACAGTGGAGGTCCCAGGGACGTGGAATGCGCAGCCTGAGCACCTCCCAGCACGCCGCAAACGACGCCGGAGCCCACTAATCCACCCTATGACTCTGCCCACACAACAAAGGAAAGTAGATCGATCGCACCAAAGCCCATGTCTCTTGCTTGCTTTGTCACAATACGTACAGCCCACATTGAACTACACCATGCCCAGTGTCACCTGCTGCCGCGTGATGTGCACGCGCAACGGTACTTGATCAAGTCGTCCTCGCCAATCACGCTCCTCATGTCTTACACCACGCCCGCCCGCACGGCCACACGCTTGGCCCTCGCCCTACGCCTGGGGTCAGACTCGTCCTCCAAGTGCTCCCCAATCTCGCCCATTACTGACGCAAACCCGCCCTCAGCCAACCGCCCTCCACTTGGGATGCGCCGGCGCCTCTCTAGCCTTCTAGCACCCTTCTCTAGCAAACACTCCCACACCGTGCATGAGTACACCGTGCCAACGACTGTAGGTGTATACTCACGCATGCTCTTTCTTTTGTGCCCGCTGCTCTATCCACCCGGCTACACAATCCTGCCCTGCTATCCCGCCAGCTATCCCGCCAGCGTCTCGCTGTCTCAAACGAGGGAATGCTGACGTTCCACCAGCGCTACCATCAGGCCACCCACCCCCAATCCCTGCCCCATCGCACTTTCTTTCACCGTGCCACCGAAGAAATCTTCTAGAACGATTTCATCCTTCTAGAAATTTACCCGAACCTGCCTAGTGCTTCCACACCTGCCCTGCGCGTCGATCCAGGATCTCCGTCAACCTCCTGCATGTCCAGCGAAACGCCTGTAACACTCCGCCCTCGAAGCCTTCACCTCGGAAATCGCTCACCCATTCGATGTAGCGCTGCCACCTGTTGAGGGCGCCTTCGGGCTTTCTCCAAGCGCCGACCCTGCCGTGCTTCGTGAAGATGCAAATGTGGCGCTTCTAGAAGGACTGCTGTGTCGTTGCAGCACCGCCAGTAGCCGGCTAACGACTCAGCTCGCGCCGACGCGCACCCAAATTCATTCCGCACCGAAAATTTTGAGCCGCCAACAAAAAAAGCTCGGAGCCTCAGGAACACAGCATGACGCAGCCAGTGGGCCATTTTCCTTCGCGTAGTCGTGATTCACCCGCTTCACCGCTTCGTGGGGTTTCGTTTTTTAGCCGCATCCCACGCTCCGTCGGAGCACCGCGATCGCTGAAACCACACGCTGACCTTGGCGGAGTCTCTGCTGTTCGAGCCTCAGTCATGTCGGAACGACATGTCCTCTCCTTGCATGGTGGCGTCCATAATGTGCGCCTTTTTGCTTGTTAGAGCCCCAACGACCACGCCCTCGGTACCAGCTTCCCGACGTTGAGTTGAAGAAATCCTCACTACCAAGGCCATGTTGGCCCTGTGTCATGATTTGGAGCAATCACGAGATTCATGGCATTTAGCCTTAGTTTCCATTCTTTGCACAGCATTGCCTGTCCACACTCCACATTGTGGTGTTGAGCTTGGACTCAAGCATTGATTGCTTCGGAACCGGCGACCGCCCGCCGAAGAGACGCCAGGTGTACATGAAACCGGACCGATGTGGACCGTAACCACTGTTTGAGCGATGCACTGATGCGTCTGCGCTGGCACACACAGTGAGCAGAAAAAGGAAAGAGGTAAAAGACATGCTGGTGGTTATCAAACTGCTTCAAACATAGGGCCAGCCGTACATGCTGGTGCCGATCCTATGCCGTTGCCGATGAGTCAATCGGCTGACGTCGTTACCAAGCGACGTTGGTTACGTTTGCCCTGGATCCCACGACAGCCTGCAACACGCGAGTGCTTCGATCGGGTTACCTGTCTCCCCAACAAGACGCCCGTCTAGGTATCTCCTTGGTGTTTTTCACGTCGTTCGTTTCACGGCTCTTGACAAGGCAGTTGAGGTCCATGCTACCTCGTCATCCCACTTTCTGTATGTCCATGTGCAACCGTGTCCCGGCTTGCGTCTCAAGCGCAGCGACATCTAGATCCCATCCCTTCCCCCTCATCTCGTCCCCATATTTTCCAAACGTCGCCCGGACGTCCTCCAACGTCTGCCTCAACTCAGCCTTCAGGCGATCCTTGGCCGGAGGAAGTGCTTCATTGGGCTGATCACCCGAGTGCCCATTCCCATCTCGGGCCCTCTTCGCAAACAACAGTGCGTGAGCCCATGCTTTGAGATGATCCGTCGGTCCACACTCTGCTTTCAGTGCAATGGAGATATAAGATGCGGATGCAGCGGGACACATGATGTATGCCTCGCCAGCGAAGACGGTTAGTAGTTCGGAGATTTGTATAGTCCGCAGAGCGAGCGAGCCCGTTTGCCTATTTTCTTCCCCTATCCGGCCTAGCATTTCCTGGAGAGATACGCCAATCTTACACTGGCCGAGCACTTCGTCGTCGGACCAGCGCAATACGTCACCTCTGTGGAAGATGCGCTCGCGCTTAGACACTTCGGTCGGACTCAGCACGACGCCGTGCTGGAACATGTTGCTGAACAGGATGTTGGCGCGCTGTCTGTTGAGTGATGCGATGCTGACGGCCCTTACAGCGGCATAGTTGGTTGCTAAATGTATTCCTAGCAGGACGATGAGTGTGCTCCATGTCGCAAAAGGTGAGGTGATATAGGATACTACCAGGCTGCCTGCCTAGCCGGCATATTAGTCATCACATCAGCAGTGTGTAAGCTCGGCGGTACTTACGAGCATTCCCATGAGAGATATTACTGTCTCTTGGCTCGAGTCTTTCTAAGCATTAGTCAGTAACGGTCATGTGTACCCAACCTACACTGTGCCCCACAGCATAAGTCGTAAGCTATCTATGCAGATCTGTGTATTGGGCATGATAGCACATGGTCTTAATACCCATTGTAAGACACGTGCTTGTAGACATCCGAATGCTTTTCTGCTCGCTGTTTCATAGCAAAGAAGAAAAGAAAACAGCAAACTCACAGCGTTCACCTCACCCAGATTCCCCTTCTTCGCAAAATGCGCACTCAAACTCGCTTTCGCACTTCCCGCACAAACCCCACATAGGGCTCTCAGACAGCTCGAGAAGCTCAGCACAGCCACGCGGATGGGTTTGGGGAAGGCGGGCGATAGGCAGTCGAGCACCATGGCTGTGTCGTTGAAGACATCGGCGGCTAGTCGGTACATTTTGCATTCAGGCTCGAGGGCTGTGCCGAGACGGTGCGCGAAGAGGATCGTAGCGATGCGGCCGGTAGACTCTTGGAGTACGGAGAGGAGGAGGGCGGAGGTGGGGGAGGCGGTTGAGTCGCCGACGCCGACGCCTGGGTGGGTGGTTAGATGGGTGGTGAAGAGATTGGTTGTTGGGTGTCATCGTGATGGAGTGTCTCTATGCTAGGTGCTTGTGATGTACAGTCCTTTCTCTTGAGAGCCTTGTTGACAACGCAGAATCTCTGGTCTACCCAAGGACGGGAGAAACATGCTGAGTATACTCCATGCCGCACATGGAAACATACCTTCCAGAACAGCTCTCGAAGCCAACATCCCCGCAATTGACGATGAGAATGCTTGAAGTGAGTCCTACATCAACACATCTCCATCAGCTTTCCTGTGTCCCTGATATTCCAACCATCGTGCATCAGAAGAGGAAAGGTCTCACTGAAACATACATAGATCTGATAATGGATATAATCCTCCGTCACACTCTGCGGATATCCCGCTGGCAGAAAGACATCAAGAAGGCGTTGCGCATAGCTCTTTGCTTCTTTGGGGTACTAAAATGGTGGAGATGTTATGTCAGTGACCGTACACACATCTTCCACCAACGCGTCTCTGAAGTCAGACTTGCAGTACAGACACCGAGATTTTAAACGCAAGTAAACCAAAGAACTCATATCGAAATAAGACGAATTGTGCACAAAACATACAATCACATCAACCCTCTTGCCTTCCGCAGAAGTAACATACTGCGCCACCAGATTCCCCGCCTCGTCTCTCTCGGCTATCTCCAGCGCCATCGATACGCATGCAGGCAGTCGGGTGGTATGAGAATGGAACGACTGGTGCCCGCGTGAAAACGCCCAAGGTCGGTGCAAGTGGCTTCGCAATATCGCGCTAGTGTCCTGTCTCCGTAAATGGTTTGGTGGAATTGGTGGAGTGGAAGTACGCGGGGAGGGGGAGGATCGATGGGGGAGAGGGGCTGGAACGAACGGAACCCGTGTGTAGATCCATCCGCTTACCTACCTTTCCACGCTCATCCGCTTTTGTACATCAAACATATTTCTCCACGATTTGACAGACATCTCACTCCACTTTTCATGGTATTCTTTCCACGACGCTTGTTCTTTTGCGACGGTGTGGAGGGTGATGCGCCGCTTTACCATTTCCCTCCTGTCGGTCATGGAAGCGTGGGACTGTGATCTGTGCACCCCAGCTGTATGGAGCTAGCTTCAGCTCTTCATCTATCGCGGAGTATCCTCGTTTGATTGCCTTGTATAGCTATCCCAACAAAACCCCCTTTGCTGCACTGTATTTTACGTTCCCACAAACGGCTTCCCTGCAACGAGGTGAGCCGTCCGTATTGGGTCTTGTTGTTGAGACCGGAGAGTGCTATACGGATACGACATGAGATGGCTGCGTGAGCCGCTGTCTACATGCACTATAAAATGATGTGAGATTTCGGAGGTATTATTCTGGGCATGCGTGTCTTGGGGTGGGTGAGGTGCTTGATGCGTGTTGGAAGGGATCTTGGAGGCTTTCAGGGAAGGAGACCGATTGGTACACGTACTGGTGCAGGGAGGAATGGGTGAAGCGGGATGAGGCGGAGGAGATGTATGTGTCATCTTTGCTTATGTGCATGGTGACTGATCGGTCAGATGTGTTATCGTTAGTCTCTCTCAAGGTTGTAGCTAACGTATTTCCCCTCAAACACTTACTCATCGCACTGGAAGGTTTAGTGTTTCGTGGCGTGTGAATACCAGAAGACATGCTCGTCTCACGGTAAGTACGATCAGAGCACGGTATTCCCTCTTGTATCTAGCAGTACACGAAGAATTCTTAAGGCATATGTAGTGTGGAATACAGTAGTCGTCGTCACAAAGATGCACTACATACCTTCCCACGAACTTACTGATATCACGTATTGCAACATTCCCCCTGCAGAATGGCGGACGTAGTGCATATTCGTATCAGCGCAAGCAAGTAACCTCTTGTAGAGAATGTGCGTGATACATCCTACCATGGGCGATCAACTCCAGAGTCGTGCGAAGTGTGATGATGGCTGAAAGTAGACAACCAGGCGACGGTTCGACGAAGTCTGGTAGACAGAGGTTGTGATTCGATCAGATACCGTGGGTTGTCTCTCTTTGCTTTACAGTTACGATTGATGCTGCGACGGAGAAGATGTACACTGCATGCTACAGTCTCTATCGTCCAACACTACGTAAACTCTACGGCTTATGATCAGAGTAACATACGATTGAGTGCCTGCCGTCTGAATCCGTCTCTTTGCACCCATGAGCATACATTGCTGCAGCTGGAGAATAAACAATTGAACTATATATTACATTGAACTGTCTTCTTGCAGTGTATCACTGCCTTCTACCCGCAACCCTGCGCAATAAGACGCAACCCCCCTAAACTAATAATAACCTGGGTATCTAATCGTGTATCCGAATGTTAAGTGGCGGTACGCAATTCCGCTGCATCGTGCCCAAGATGTTGTGTACCATGCAGCGTGTACCAGCCACGCTCTGCAACCATCCCTCCCCACCTTGTAAAATACCGTGAACTCCAAACATTATGTATACCCAAAGTACGAGACTGAGCTCATATGCGAAGGCCGTAATTCGAAGAAAGACGTGAGAAGCCAAAGTCGACCTTTGAGAGTCATGGTCGCCCATCGTGCGATCCCCAGTGCCTGTCATGACGCCGTTATGACCACTCGGCGTTACTACAAAAGTATCACGCCACCGCTCAAGCATCCCCATCCTCCCTTTTCCTAACCCCCGCCCTTCCAAACCTCATCTTGCCTCCTAGTCGCTCTACCTCTTCGACGGCTGCATCTCGTTGCCTCTCCAACTCTTTAATGTAGTCGATGGCCACTGCCAGCACCATGCTCTTACTAGGCTTCACTGCGCCTGTATCCGTGGCATCACTTTGCGGTAACATGGGCACAGCCCGACGTAGTCGCTCTAGCTCTGCATTGAGCTTTTCGCGGTACTTGCGCTCGACTTCGGTGTGGGGCATGCATTGTGTCCGGGCGATTTTGGCGGTAGTAGTCGCGGTCGGCTCAGAGGCGGGGCGGTGGATGCGAGGTCGGCCTCGTTTGCGTGGAGCAGGTGGCTTGAGTGAGGTGTCCTCGGGAGAGATGCCGTGGAGTGCGGTGGGCGATAGGGATATTGGGCTGCCGTGGCCAGTGGGCGGCGTCGGTAAGGGAGAGGGGTTGGACGGATAGCCGTTGGGGAAGTCGGTTGCAGTGTAGGTGTGTTGGAAATCGGCTGGGCAGCTCAAGGGCGTTGAGCTGTAATTCGGCCATGCGTTCAGAGGAGCTTCACCGCCTGCGCTCGTTGCACTGACAAGTGATGGTGTGCTGACGTAGCTGTTGGGTACCGGTGCACTCCAATTAACATCTCGGACCCCTGGCGTGATGGATCGGTTGAAGCACTGGCCGCTCCTGCTATCGTAGGTATTGAAACCATAGTCGGAAAGTGCGGGATATGACTCCGTGAGGTAAGCGTCGATTTCGTCCGGTGATGGGAAGGCATCGCTGTTGGGAGAGTACATTGGGTTATTCGCGGCCACCGGGAAGGCAGGCAGATTAGAGAAGTCCATCTTGGTGTCTGGCTGCCGCGGAGTTGTGTGGGAGGGCGTTTATTACTAGTCACTCAGGTTCGGCGAAGTCTTATGGCAGTATATATTCAAGGGCTATTCGTCCTGTCGTCACTCTGTCATCAGCCTTCCCTTGGTATCCTGGCTAGTGATGGTGCCGGTGATCGGGTTGAAGCAGAATATCGAACGATCAACAGGAAACACACCGGCTTTTGCCAGCTCCCAGAGACTGCGGTAGGCTTGATTGCGCTGCGCCTAGAAGATTCCGAGCTCGGGCGCGCAGCGAAGACGGCGGAGAAGCAACCCGCTGGACCACTTGTCACACCAAAACTCAGCTCCAACCAGATCCCGGTGACAAGACTTTTTCATAGCCTTCTTGTAGCCATGATAACCGCCACTTGAATGGCCAAACTGCTGGTAATCTCGCAGCGCCCAGTTTTATCATACGATCTGCGCCAGGGATGCGAGTCTAGAATGGTCTATCCAGTACAGTTGTAGTACGCGATGCCCGCCTCCTCACGGTGTGAGACGCAGCTGTCGTTCCCATGTTGCAGAGTGCCGTGACGTCGATGCAGGTGCTCTGCGAAGTTCGACGCGGGGAAGAAATTCTAGCCGGACAACCCTCCCACATCGAATCACAGCCAGCGAGCTGATACATTATACCCAATCAATTCCAGGCGGTGACATCCGGTAATACTTCCCTCAGCACCTGGATCTATTCAGCATATGGTCATCGCCGTCTGCTTTGTCCTTCCAGCAGCTTCCACTTCGCTTACCATGGGCATGCGACTTGGCAACGAGCGGGCTCGGTATGTTCCGGTTAGTAACCCTGGAGGACGTTCACGTGGCTCGATTCAGATCGAGATCAAACTGGCAGTGAATTCCAGAACAGTCGACTCTCGGGAGGGGGCGTATGTTGGTCCTCTGGACCACTTCTGAACATCTGCAGCAGTGATGCCGTTATTATGTTCTACGGTGAACATCATGTCATCTCGAAACACCTGGGCCCCAAGTCACGACCAACAGGTACAGGTGCATCACCAACGCTCTTGCATTCCTATCACTTATCAGCTGGCGCATCATACGATGGATGCTTTGAGGGTTTTACGACCTCAGCTGGTCTTGGAGTGAGCAGGTATATCTTAGATCCTTGGCCCCTGTGCCAGGTCATACTAAACCGCTAGCGCATTTTCGAGATGTTGAAGAGCAGTTAGCTGAACACCCCCTTGATCATTTGCACTGCGGAATTCATGACTGCGCAAAGCTTGATTTCTTGGCTTTTGGTTGAAACAATGTACTCCCAAACAATTTGCAGGATTTTGTTACGGCGTGATAACCAGATGCGACACGGCGCCTTCCTGCGTATTGTCTGATTCGAATCATGCAAAACCACAAACTTTTCTGTACATAGGCCATCCCCCACTTAGGGTGGTCGCAGAGTTCTAGGTGATTACTATACGCACAACCCCTCAATCTAGCGTACAATCATGCCCCAGCATGCCGAAGTATGCCGATATGCTCAATATCGTACTCACATCAAATGAACTCACGTAGATGCCGAGATCGAGACTGGCGAATTTGTTGTTGAGTAGAAACCGGGGGTTGAGACTTGTTCGGATACAGCCTGGATGTTTGTTCTGGCGTTCATAGATCGGTTGGTTTGTGTTTTGTCGTGTCTCCGAGTTAGGTAGGAACAGCTGTGTTCTTCCATCTCT